GCACGCACGGGGGCCGCTGGCCGCGCCGGGCCACGGGCGCCGGGGCCGACCGACGCGCGCCGGCGCGGTCTCAGAAGGGCGCGGCGCGCGCGCACGGTGCGGCGAAGGCGGGGCGGCTGCGGGCGGGCGGGGACGGCTTGGCGCCCAGGCGGCCGAGGGGACTGTGCGGCTTCGCCCCCCGCGCCCTTCGCGGCCCGCTCTCAGCGGCGCCGTTACGCGACGTCTCTCTGCCGGAGGCCGCGGTCGCGGAATGCCGAGGCCGTAGCCGCTGAGCGCGCGTGAGCGGATCCCACTGGACGTGCGGCGAACGCGCCGGACGGCCCCAAACGGCCGCTGAAAAATGGCGGACGGCGACGGACGATGGGCGCCGGACAGGCAGACGCCGGCGGAGCCCGGGCAGCCGCCGCTCGGGGCGCCCGGGCGGCCCACCGGCCGGTCGTTCCCCGAACCGCCGCCGTTCCCGCCGTACCCCGCGCCACCGCCCGGCAACCCGCCATCCGCCTCCTGGGGCTCCGGCTGGGTCGCTCCGGGGTACGCCGCGCCGCGCTGGCCGCCGCCCCCCCCGGGCTACCCCTTCCACCCCCCCCCGGCCTCCTTCCCCGCACCTTCACCCGCCCCAACCTCGGGCTACCCGCCGCCAATGCCGGGCATGCCTCCGCACCACTACTACCCGGCATACCCGCCGGCCTACCCGTCGTACCCGTCACCGGCTTTCGCGCCCCCGGAGCCGGGCGGTGGCGGTCCCTTGCGGACCGGCCCAGGCTCCTCGGCGAGGGATCGCAGGGACGGCGCGTCGCCCTACCCGCCCGCGGGCGCGTACGCCCCGCCGTACCCCGCGCCGGTGCCGGGATGGCCGCGGGGCTACGTTCCGACCGTTCCGGGACCCGGCGCGGCACCGTACCTCGCGTGGCCCCCGCAGGGCAACCCGCCCGCCCCCGCCCAGCCCGCCAAGCCGGAGCCCCGCTCCCCCCGCCAGGCGCCTTCGAGCAACCACCAGCGGCGCTCCGACGCCCCGCCCCCGGGCCCATCCGCGCCCTCAACCCGCCCCGCGCGCCTCTCCATCTCGGACCTCCTCGAAACCCCCTCCCCCGCGGCCGCAGGCAGCCCCCCCGCGCGCGACGCCTCCCCCTCCGCCTCCGCATCCGCATCGGCCTCGGCATCCGGCGACCTCCCCCCGCACAACACGGGCGCCGGATCCCCGGAATGGTCCTCGGCAAACACCTGCCACTGGATCACCAACGGCGCCCTCGCCTTCCCCCCCGTCCCTCCACTCGGCGCGCCCCCGCCGGCACCGACCAAGTGCCTGCGCACGTTCGCGACCCCGGACGAGCTGTACGCGCACCTCTGCACCGTGCACGTCGGCCGCAAGTCCACGGGCAACCTCTCGCTGCGGTGCTGGTGGGACGGGTGCGCGCACGCGGGGAGCCAGGCCGGGGCCAGGTTCGCCAAGCGGGACCACGTGACGAGCCACGCGAGGGTGCATGTGGGGCTCAAGCCGTGGCGGTGCGCGGTGCGTTCCGCTCCTTTGCCGCCTCGCTTTGGAATGGCTGACCGGCCCGCGATCCGCAGGCGTGCGACAAGGCCTTCAAGCGCCCGCAGGACCTGCGCAAGCACGAGCGGACGCACGCGAACGATCCCCCGCGGACGCCCGAGCGCGGTTCCGGATCCGGACGGGCGTCGGGCGGGCGCGGGTACGGCTCGCCCGTCGCGCCCGCCGCGGCGGGACTCCAGCCGTACCCGGGTGCCGCGGGTTCTCCCGTGCCGCCGGCCGCGGCGGGGCTGCAGCCGTACGCGCCGCCGTACGCTGCTCCGGCTGTCGGCATGGGGTCGCCGGTTCCCGCGGCCGGCGCGCTGCTCCCGCCGTACCCGGGCCAGGGGGGCGGGCTGCTGCCCCCCGCTCCCGCGCTGCAGCAGCCGGAGCAGCAGCAGCAGAGGCAGAGCCTGCTCCCCTCTATCGAGGAGATGATGCGCGGGCGGGAGCGGGACGGGGAGATGAGGAGGGAGAAATGAGGGCGGCCGGATCCCGGGCCCGTCCGACCACCCGGTCGTGCGGGCGGGCGGGCGAGCGCGCGGCATAACTACCACCAGGAAAGATAGAGAGCGACGAGGGGGGAGGGGGGCCGGAGAGGGCGGAAATGTACTCGGAGCGAGCGGGGATAGAGCGGATGGACGGCACGCCGGCCAGGTTCCGGGGGCGGATGGAACGGTCCGGTCCATCTCGGCCCTCGTCGTTGTTCACTCCGACAAATCACTGAGCACTGCACGTCTTCGCCTGACGCGTCCCATGGCGCGGCGATCACCCCGCCGAGACCTTCCTCGCTGCTGCACCAGGCCGCCCTCAGTCGCGCCGACGTTTCGAACAGGTCCACCTGACGCAGCGCAATATCCGTCCGGATGGAACTGGGAAACCAGAGTGGGGGCAGGCTTCCGCGGGAAGGGCTCGGAACCGGCGAAGAACCCGGAGCGCAGGCGCTACAGGCCGATCTCCTCGACGGAGCCGAGATTCCGGATGCTCTACCACACGGTCCCCAGCCGGTGCTCCTCGACACACAGGAAAGAGCCCTCCGCTGCGGGGACGTCCCGGATGACCAGGGGGACGAAGCCCGGCACGGATGCCATGGCGTGCGTGACGTCCGTTGGGACGGCGATCCGCGCGGACACCTTGCGCACGAACGCCTCGGGCCGCGGGCCCAGGCCCTCGGGCAGCCAACAGAGGTTCAGGGCGACGTCCGCGAGCATCGGGCACCGTTCGGCAAAGAGCTCCATGAGCCGGTTGGACCACGGGTCCTCGTACTCGAGCGATCGGAGCGCAGGCAGGTCGGACAGCTTGCTTTTGGCAAACCGGTACGCGAGCCTCAGATACTCGGCGCACATGTAGAGGTTCAGGCAAGTCATTTCATCAGCGAAGGAGCGCCCCGGATTGCCTCTTCGGTGCAGAAGATGAGTCTCGCCGAGGTCGCCTCCTGGCACTGCCCGAGGACCCGGCCAACGACGGCGTCGAAAAGCTCACCGTCCAGCGAAACGCGTCGGACGTGCCGGAAACGATCTTGACGCTCCCAGACCTCGATGATACGCAGCGAATCGTCCTCGCTCCTCTGAGAACCGAGGCGGATGCCGGGAACTCCAGGAAGAGCCTCGGCGCGAGCATGCAGATCCAGCATGCCGCGGCGAACCAGCGTGAGCTCAAGGAGCGGCTTCGAGCCGGGCTCCATGAAATCTCCGACGTGGATGAGGATTTCGTCGGGATTACGGGCGGGGAAGCGTCGCTGGTGCGGTCGCCGTTGTCGCCGGCGTCGCGGCGTTGCATCGAATCCCGGGAGCCCGTGGCGACCGTCCGGGCGCCTCCGTAGGCGTCGACGTCTGGAATCATGTCGACCTAAGTTGATTCGGAGTGGCGGTAGGGTGGCGGCGCTGTGAGGACTGCCGGTTTTGTTTCGCGTAGCGTCGAGTCACGCGACGCCTCTGCCTCCTGAGGCGCTCAGAAGCACGGAATGCGAGCGACGTCCTAGCGCACGGTAGCCTCAAACATCCGTGTTTTTAACAGCTATTTCACGTCGATATGCAGCACCCGAGGCAACTGATACCTGGCAGCCAGCAAGAGCCCGCGTTCCTATCCGGTGATCCGGGAACCTGGCCCAGCCCGCTCTGCCACTCGGGCATTCTTTGCAGCCCGCTCTGCCACTCAGGCATTCTTTGCAATCGCACTGCTCGTGCCGCTGAGCTACAGCCCCAGGAATGCTCTTTAGCGGGACCCGGGACGCTGCGTGCGCACGGACGTTGGTCGCCAGTGGGTCATTGCCGGGAGGTTGCCGGATAGCGAGGTGGACCGCGTGTTCGGCAAGCAACGCGCCGGGGACGCCAGCGACGGACAGAGGAGGGGCTTGATGGCCGTCGTTTGCTCTGCCCGCCGTACCTGAGGTCGGACGGCGGGACATCATCGGGCAAGGGGCCCCTTGCGTGAATAGGTCAACATTTCATCCAGACGACTGATCCTTGTGTACATCTTCCAGCTCGGGATCCGCAGTGTCCTTCGCTTGCTTGTGCCGATTAGACCCCGCGATGTGCTGCCGCGGACGGCGGCCCATGCGTTTCGGAAATCGGGAAGGTTCCCGCGCGACGGTCACTGTGGCCCGCAGAGTCATCTTGTGGACTGCAGCCCGGAGCCTCGGGTGGCGTCGTCATCGGCAATCTTTGTCCACGACGGAGGGCGGGATCGCGCGCATGTTCGCCTGAGGGCGGCCGTTTGACTTTGGGCGAAGGGACTCACCTCCAGGTTCAGTCCAGTCACTGCTCTGCCAACTGGACGGCCGGATGCCACACTATAGCTAGGAGTAGGAGATCACGCTTAGCTGTCCGCGTGCTTTCATCTCAGCCCTAGCAGGGTGCAATCCGTGGGCTTCCGTACCGGCTGTCCCTTTAAGCACTTATCCGCCTCCCTGGGTGCTCCGTGGCCAGCCAAATCCATTGCACCATTGCGGCAATTTCTCGCATGCTGGCAAATCGCTGGCGCCGTCGCATCTCGGCTTTTCTCGACCGGCGGGCGATTCGGCATTGCCGCATCAGTGCTGGGGCAAAGAGGACTATGAAAAAAAAACGGTCCGTTGCCACGCCCCGGAGGTAGGGATTCTGGCGAGCAATGAGGGCCCGAAGAAGGCCGATCGTCGCCGCCCCCGCAGGTCGGTCGAGATGGCTCCGAGACTGCTCCGGGCGGCTCTCGGGGCCGTCAACCATGGAGACTGGATCGGTGCGCCTGGAGCGGTCGAGGGGCTGCGACAACCGCAGATGCCGAGCCTCGCCCCGCGCACGTTGATTGGGTGGAAGCAACTCCAGGCCTGCACCACCCCGCCGTGACAGCCCGACTCGGGCAGCCAGGCCCGGAGCCGAGGCAGGAAGGCGCCAAAGGGGTGAACCACTGGTGTTGGCTGCATGGCCCGGGACCGCCCGCTGGACTGGCAAATGCTTGCGGTCAGTAAGACCACTATACTCTTAAGCATAGACTTTGGGCTATAGCTCAGTGGCTTAGAGCGTGCGATTGCAAATCGCGAGGTCCCCGGTTCGATCCTGGGTAGTCCCTCATGTCTTTCTTCATAAGATTGTTTTGGTCTTCCCGGCACGAGCGTGCGATTCAAAGAATGCTTTCATCGCGAGGTCCGTCCGCAGTCCCTCCCGAATTTTGTTGCGGCTGGCTTCGGGTGTGCCCAGTCCACCGAAGGTTGCGTTCATGAGCTGCTTTCCGGGCCGCAGGGAACGCGTTCTTGGAGGTTTGGGCCCCTCAAGGGTGAAGCCGAGTTAGGGCATCCCGGCGCTGACGCGCCGTCATGCCCGTGCAAATGGGCCGTGCGCCCGAATAAGCAATGGATCCAGCTTTTGTAAATCCCATTTTGTCCGAAACCATGAAGCAGGCGACGGAAATGGATACGGGTTCGGCGCTCCGCGCTTCGCGCGAGCTCCGGAAGCGCGTGCTGTTCCAGCTGGCTTGCGCAGACTGCCGTCGCCGAACCCCAAGACAGATCCAAAGCAGCAAAGCCGTATTCGTCAACCCCAAGGTCCCATAGTTTCGCGATGTGAAGAATGATGCGGGTTGGTTGCGGGCAGCGAAACTCCGATCCGGCGAGATCACGCACGAGCCATCAAGGCCGGGTCGTCGGATAAAACATCCGCCCCGGGCTGAACGTTTCGAAGGCAAATTTTGCCTTCTTCTTCAATCTGCGCTTGTATCTGGACGAAGCAGGCGCGGCCGCTGATGACGGCGGGGGAGAATGAGCGTCACAGCTTCTGCACCTTGCGACCAGCAGCCCCGGGCAGCCGAAGACGTCTTCAATCCATCCATCGAAGTCAAAATGACGCTGAGTGGAGCGATTTCGCGATGGTCCCAGTCTTGTTTGCCCGGGAGACGTGCCGCCGGCCCGGACTCCCGGCCGGACTCCGGCCGAGGGGCTTGGTCCCTTGCAAGAAAACCGCTCCACCGCCAACCCCGTCTCCCCGTTCATGCGGAGCGCCCTCCACCGGCTGCGGACGCCTAATAGGGGACTTTTGCGGAGCGCGATGGGCAACGCCGGGCAGCCGAACGGCAACGGCCTGGCGCCGCCGCACCCGCGGACGCTCGTGTCGTCGCCGGTGCTCCGCGCCGCCACGCCGCCGTCGGTGCCGCCGCACGCCAAAGTGCTCACGCGCGACACGCTCAGCCCCGCGCTGCTGCGGACGTCGTACGCCGTGCGCGGCCCGCTGGCGATCCTCGCCGACCAGCTCAACGAGGAGCGGCTGGCCGCGAAGCAGCGCGGCCCCGGCGAGGAGGAGGCGCTGGTCGCCCGCCGCGGCTGGAAGAACGTCGTCCTCACAAACATCGGCAACCCGCAGGCGCTGGGCCAGGTGCCGATTACCTTTTTCCGCCAGGTGGGCATCGATTTGAGGATGGTCTTCGTCGGGGTATCTCGGGCTTTTCGGCGGGCTGGCCGCCCCGGGAATGGTTTTCCTTGCTCTTTGGAAGCGGATAATATCGATCTGAGGCGCGGTTCCGGGCCGGCCGGGGTCGGAGTTTGGCCGGGGTCGGGGGATCACTGGCCGCGAGAGGGGCCCCTCGACCTCGTCGGTCTTCACACGGCCTTCTATACCCATGGGCAATACGTTCGCCAGTTTTGTTTCACCGACGCTGACGTGCTCGCCCCGCTTCTGCAGGTCCTGGCCCTGACGTCGCACCCGCCGCTGATGGACTCGCCCCTCGCCGTCCAACTCTTCCCCCCGGACGCCATCGCGCGCGCCCGCACCCTCATCAAAGCCTTCGGCGGCTCCACCGGCGCCTACACGCACTCCCAGGGCGCCGTGCACGTCCGCCGCTCCGTCGCCCGCTTCATCACGGAGCGCGACGGCGCGCACCTCCCCGCCGCCGAGCCCTCCAACATCTTCGTCACCGCCGGCGCGTCCCCTGCCGTGCAGCTGGTCCTCGAGGCGCTGATCGCACACCAGCACGTCGGCATCCTCGTGCCGGTGCCGCAGTACCCGCTCTACTCGGCCAGCATCTCGCTGCTGGGCGGGCAGCTGGTCAGCTACGGGCTCGTCGAGTCCAAGGACGGGTGGAAGATGTCGCCCGAGAGCATCAGGGACAGCGTGCGGAAGGCGAGGGGGGAGGGGCTGGACGTGCGCGCGGTGTGCGTTATCAACCCGGGGAACCCGACGGGCAACTGCCTGAGCAGGGAGGATGTGGAGAAGGTGATCGACATTGCCAAGGAGGAGCGGCTTGTGGTGCTCGCGGACGAGGTCTACCAGAGTGGGTTGCGCGCGGCCGCTGTCGGTCGAACTCTGTTTGGCTGACAGAAACGGTTCGATTTCGCCCACAGCCAACACCTACCTCGACTCGCGGCCCTTCATCTCGTTCCGCAAGGTCCTGCTCGAGAAGCAGGCCGCCGACCCGTCGTACGCAGACGTGGAGCTCTTCAGCTTCCACTCGGTGTCCAAGGGCGTCGTCGGCGAGTGCGGGCAGCGCGGTACGTGAACCAAGATCACTCGGCGCCCGACTCGGCTGACCCCGGTTTGGCCCAGGCGGCTACGTTGAGTGCGTCAACGTGGACCCCGACGCCGTGGCCGAGATGTACAAGGTGGCCTCAATCTCGCTGTGCTCCAACACCTCGGGCCAGATCCTCGTGGACCTGATGGTGGACCCTCCGCGGCCGGGCGACCCGAGCTACGAGCAGTACAAGGAGGAGACGATCGGGACCTACGGTGAGCGTCGGTGTTAAGGTACAACCAGGATCGCTCGCTGACGCGATGGCACAGAATCGCTCAAGCGCCGCGCGATCAAGCTCGTCGCCTTCTTCAACACCCTCCCCGGCGTCAGCTGCGCCCCCCCCGAGGGCGCGCTGTACGTGCACCCCCGCGTCGCGATCCCCGCCGCCGCCGCCGCCGAGGCGCGGGAAAAGGGGCAGGAGCCGGACGAGTTCTACGCCATGGAGATGCTCCGCTCGACCGGGGTGTGCGTGGTGCCGGGGAGCGGGTTCCTGCAGGAGCCCGGGACGTGGCACTTCAGATCGGTGCGTGTCCTGCGCGCGTCGTGACTATGTGTCCGTGCTGATCTTTGTCGCGCAGACGTTCCTGCCCCCGGAGGAGGAGTTTGACGGGTTCATGGGGCGGATAGAGAAGTTCCACAGGGCATTCATGGACAAGTACAAGTGACCGCGGCGGGGCGGTCATAGAAAAATGTACATAGACGGGCGGCGTTCTTGATGTCTTTGAGGAAGGGACAATACGACTACGTGGAATGAAGTCGCTCGAGCGGGACAGGGGGCGGGCGGGCTGGGCGGCCGGCGGTTGACGCTCGAACCGCACTCCAATCCCGCCCCGCTCGGGGCCAACCTGACCGCAGGATGCCGTGCGATCCGTCGACCGCGGACTGCTCGGTGGTGAGCGTGGCCTGCGGCGTCGCCGGACGTCTCTGAACCCGGAATGCCAAGCTGCTGTCGGTGGTCGCACCGCTCTGCGGCAACCTCCTTGCGCTCTGCCTGAACGTCGCGCCGGCGTTCGGCGTCGCGGCGGCCGTGCAGAAGGGCGAGCTGGGCGACCTGAACCCGCTCTTCATGCTTATGAGTGGGTGGTCGACCCGGGACGCGTTCCGTTCCCCTAACCGGGTGTTCCCCTCCCGGCGACAAGTGGTTCCCGCGTCGACGGTCAACCTGGGATTTGGCTACCTGCTGCGCGACTGGTGGATCGTGTTCCCCAACCTGTCGGGCCTCACGCTTGGAGTCGCGTACTCGGCGGCCTTGCTCCGCGTGGCCCCGTTGCCTCGCTTCCGCTCCCTGCTCGCCCTCCTCTTCGGCGCCCTCCTCGCCGCGCTCCTCGTCACCTCATTCGCCACCGTACAGCTCTCCCCCGCGTCGGCAGAGGCCGTGCAGGGCCTCGCGGCCGCCGCCTCGCTCGTCTTCCTCTTTTCCGCGCCCCTGTGGACGCTCCCCCGCGCGGTCCGCCGGCGGGACGGCTCGGCCGTGTACCTCCCCGTGGCGGGGACCATGCTCGTCAACGCGTGCTTCTGGGTGGCCTACGGGGCGGCGATCGGCAAGGCCGCCGTCTGGGGGCCCAACACCGTCGGACTGGCGAGCGCGGCGGCGCAGATCGCGGTCGGGTTGGCTTTTCGGACGGGCTCACCCGGTACCCCGTCGAGGAGAGGTGTGGGCGGGGTGGATTTTGCTCCCGTCGGGGAAGAGACTGGGGGTTTGGTGGAAGGGGAGGTCGAGGTGGAGATCGAGGAGGTGAAGGTGAACGGGAACGGCGATGCTGCCTCGCTGCACTAGTCTGGCGTGTCCCGGCTTGATGCCTCGTAGACTGATGACCTGTTATACCCAGCGGAAGCAAGATCAGATTCCATCTCCGTCTTGTCTCGGTCGCCGTCCTTGCCGGCTTCTAGGCGACTCGACGTTTTAGCACAAGGACGTGAGCTGCTCTGTGACAGAAAGTGGCTTGTGAGCACGATCCTGTACCCCGACCGCGCGGCATGTACTCGCAAGATGCCGGGCGTTCCCCAGGCCCCCGGTGCCCTGCCTGTCATAGGCCCCGTACTGGTGCGGTTCTAACGGCCTTCCTTGGCTGCAGCTCTGACGTGAAACGTCACGGACAGGCGATGGCAAAGCCAGGGGTTGGGTCGACCGAAGACTGAGCGCGCTGCGCCGCAGTGGGGCGACTTCGAGAACAAGAAGGAGCGTTTCGACCTGCAGCTCACGCAGGCCATGCGCGGCGGACTGGAGGTCGAGGTCAGGGAGATCTGAACGCCGAGCGCGACGACCGTCTTCTTTGGAGGGTGGGTGGGGAGTTGGTGAATGAGGCACAAGCTCAATCGCGGATCGCTTCGTACTCGATCCGGCTTTTGGGCTATGCCGACAGCCTTGTCTTGTATACTTCGTGCGAATTCCCGCTTGCTTGCTCTCAAGAACTCGATATGCGTGACCTTAGTCCCGGCCCGCCCCGGCTGTCCAACTACTTCACGCCCTCCTCTGCCTCTGTCAGTCCCCTGCCGCTGCCAAGGACCGACGACATGGCAGCCCAAGTGCCGAAGACGCGGCCCGCGGCGGACCTGAATTCCCTGCCCGCTGA